GCCTCGGGGCCTGAGCTCACCCAGGTCCTGTGTCTCTTCCACCACCCAGGGCCCACGGCCTGGACAGGGAGTGACCCAGTGTCCTGGTCCTGTTCCTGTTCCAAGACCGAGTTCCACATCTCAGACTTCTCTCCGGGGCCCCTGCCTTACCTGTCACCTGCAAATTCAGCATCTTGTCTTGGTAATTATATTTCACACTTCCTCTCTCCATTCGGAAGGTGTATATTCCTGTGTCACTCCTCCTGGCATCTCTGATGTGCAGGGAGCAGTTGTTGTTCCTGGAGTCCGGGAGGAGGAAACGGCCTTGGGTTTCTCCCTTTGCTGGTTTATTTGGGTCATTCGAGGCCACAGGTGAACTGTACCATATGCTGTCCTCTTTCCGGTACCAGTAGGTGTAGAGTTCACTAGAGGAAGACCATGAGCTCCAGGGGTAGGAGAAGGAGCAGGGCACGTGGACGCACAGACCCTCCTGCACCGTCACGGATTCCTGCACTTGGAGCTCAAAGCCTGGCTGCTCCTCCAGAGATTCTGGGAGGGGGACACAGAGGCTCAGATGCAGCCCCATCCCTCTCCCACTTCCTCATCCCGCCGCTCCCTGGGCCCACTCACCCCCCCACAGCAGGAGCAGCAGCAGCAGGGGCACCATGTCTGCCTCTCTCAGCACAGAGCAGGTCCGGGTCCCTGTGTCAGGGAGCAAAGTGCCAGCTCTGGGGTGGAGCTGAGGATGCCCCAACAGGAAGCCCAGGGGGAGAGACTGTGGATAGTCCTGGAAAGGGAACTTCGCCTACACAGTAGTTAGGGGGTGTGGTGACTGAGAAATCTTCCTATCTCCCCTCCCCCCTCCTGAGCCTGGAGGTAAATATACTGAGGCCCCAGAGGTTGAGAGGCCTATCCAGATGTGAATCTGAAAGTGACCCCCTTACAGATGAGGTGTAAGTCGAGAGGGTGGTCCCCCAGGGGGACACGGTGGTCATCACAGGTCCTGGTGACTCAGGGGATCCACCCTCCAGCCGAAACCATTGTGTAAAAGGGTAATTTTAAAATTTCTTCACATCACTCAAATGCTGGAAAGAAAAGAAGGAATTTAGACTCAACTCTCATGGAGGGTGGAACCCAGGGGAAAAGCTGATGCCTTTCGGGGCACACGGGAAGCACACATGTGGGTCTCCCATGGTCTGAGGGACAGCGACAGCGCACAGGCCCCATCAGAACGGGATGTGTGAAGGCAGATCGAACCCCTTCAGGGGGAGCCTCAGAGGTTGGATCTCCACACGACAGCAAATTTGCCACCTTACAGCTCAGGAAGCTCCACCTTCAGGGCCCCTTAACGTGCTCAGTCCCTTTTCAAAGCCCAGCAGGGGCTCGAGTGATGTGTGGACATAACCTGCAATCCTACTGCTCTTTTATGAAAGAAAGAAACTTGATCAATGTTTTCCCAAATATGACAATGATGTGAAACACTTCAGACATTCCCAGTAACAGGTTGTGCAATGGAAGTAAGTTCCTTAAACTGTACAGAAGAAAAAGAAATTTCTCTCAACCATGCTGAGGACACACAGAATTCTCTTTCTATTCTCTATACTATATACATATACTATTATAACAATTAATAATGTTTCTTAGTATGATATTAACACGTATTAGTACATGACAGGATTATTGTCCTATAAAGAGTCCATCAAATGTATCAGTCAAAAAAATGTGGGGAGCGTGTTATGCAGGTGTTGTAGAAAGGTATGCCATACTACTAATAAGAACAGTCTGTAATTTTTTGGAATTGTCTTATTTTTGGTCTTCAGAATTGTAGCTTTTATGTCATGATGTGTATTCTCATTTCAGAAAAATTCATGTGCGCCACATTGTGTATTAGTTTTGAAACAGTGATCTCAACATTTGTACAACTATCAAGCTCCACAAAACCAGGTCTTTCCCTGCCTCAGGTGCAGACAAAGAAGAGGTAACCAGCTCCACCCATCCATGTATTACAATGAACACCCACTGAGACTCCTCACGTATTACAATGAAGATTGTCCAGTGCAAACAGCGGACTAAAGAAAGCACGATTTCCATGGCTGTGCCCCACAATTCCTATCACTGAACCATGTAGCAAATCTCAAGCTGGGATACAAAAAAGACAAGAAATAAGTGTTGGCAAGAATGTTCAGAAAGGGGAACCCCCTCACACTGTGGGAATGTAAATTGGCGCAGCCACTACGTACTAGTAAATCAGTCTGGCAGTTCCTCAAAAATTATAAATAGAGCTGCCACAGGACCCAGCAACACCCCTTCTGGGTAATTATTTGGGAGAAATAAAAACACTAACTTGAGGAGATGTATGTCCTCCCACGTTCACTTTGGCATCTTCTGCAATAGCCAGGATGTGGAAGCATCCTCAGTGCCCATCCATAAATGAGTGGGTGAAGAAATGGTACATGTACAATGGAAGATTATTGTCATAAAAAGGAAAACCTGTCATTTGCAACAACATGGATGACCATGAAGGCATTATAAGTGAAGTAAATCAGACAGAGAAAGACAAATACTGTATGATCTCACTTATGTGTGGAAAGTTTGAAAAAATCAAACTCATAGATACAGAGAATACTCTGGTGGCTGCCAGAGGCAGAGGGGGTTGGGGTAGGAAAAGGTCAACATTTTCAGTTATAAGATAATTAATTCATGAGGACATAGTATGTGGGGAGCCAAAATAGGGTTAAGCCTCAGACTGACCTGTTGGCAAAGTCACAAACAGGTCTTCCGAGTCTTAAACAACCCAATCTGAGAGGTGGCCGCTGATTTACACGCGCTATCATTTAAAAAATAAAAAAGGGGGAATTTGCAGGAAGCCGGTCCATCCCTGCTGCTTGACACAGTCGCTGCAGGGAAGAAACATCTGCACAGCATATGTTTCAAGGGACCTGGGGTATATGGCATACTGTTCTTAATATGTTTGCTCCCCTTCTTAGCGCTATGTGTTTTAACCAAGGTCACCTCTCCGAGAAAGGTTGTTTCCCCAGGTGGGTATTTTTCCCTATTGTTAGGGATTAACAGGACTAAGGAAGGGAATCAGTAAAACCCCTTAACTAAGTGCCAGGCGGGTAATTAATCACTTTAACTACAAACAATCACGCTTAAGCTACATAATCTTTACTTAGGATAATCTCCTTCAGTTACATCCTTGTAGCTTAACAGAACAATAGAGTAGTGACCTTGGAATGGAGATAACAAACGCCCTAACCTTTGGAATAGAATGGATAGGATTAAAATCAACTGGTGTAAATACAGATGTAACAGGACAATAAAGACTGAACCTGGCTAGAACCTGGCTGGAGAACCTGGCTAGAACCTGGTTAGAGAACCTGGCTAGGCTGCTGATCAACTGAACGCTGTCTCCATGTCATTCCTTCTTCACCGGCTCCGTCCACACCTTTGGGAACCTCTGGACATGCTGGGGCTGGACCCCAACAATATTATACAGCATGGTGACTGTAGCTAATAATAGTATGTGTTGATATTATGAACTATAGTAATATAGTTAATAATACTGTGTTGAATATCTGAAAATTGCTAAGAGAAAAATTGTTACAAGTTCTCATCATAAGGGGAAAAAAGTGTGTAACACTATGTGGTGGTGGAAATTAACAAGAATTTTAACAGCTTGTGGTTGGCCCTTCACAATTTGGAACTAGCAAAAAGTTATAGGTCAATGATATCTCAATTATCCTATATAATAAATGCCCAGCGACTGAACAGTGGAATGACCAGAATGACTGTGGATCCTTGCCCTGGCTGACCCAGCCCCTCAGCGGTTCCCCCAGCACTGATCTGGGGGTGGAGCCAGCTGGAAAATGGCCTGCAGCTCCTCACCCTGGCTGGCCCCACCACCAGTCAGCCCCCATCAGGGCTGGCCAGATGGACCCCACCAGTGCACGAATTCGTGTACCGGACCTCTAGTGTACCTATAAACTCAGGCTGGGTACTTTGATTAGAGTTAGGACATCCAAACTGTGTTCCCTTTCTGCTCCATTTGTGTTCCAACACGGGCATAACAAATTCCTTACATTAAATTCCCGCTGCTGAAATACATAGTGGGCTTCTGTAGTTTCTCGCTGGCCCTTGACTGATTAAATCTCAACAAGTAAAACAATGCGGACTGGGTGATTTCAAATGCCTTCATGATAAAACTCACAGCCCACTACACAGAATTTCTCTAATGAGATAGAGGGTGTCTTCAGCAAATACCACACCTAATGCAGCAACATTGGGTCCTAGAAAGGCAATAAGAATATAGCTTTGGCCGAAACCGGTTTGGCTCAGTGGATAGAGCGTCAGCCTGCAGACTGAAAGGTCCCGGGTTCGATTCCGGTCAAGGGCATGTACGTTGGTTGCGGGCACACCCCCAGTGGGAGATGTGCAGGAGGCAGCTGGTCGATGTTTCTCTCTCATTGATGTTTCTAACTCTCTATCCCTCTCTCTTCCTCTCTGTAAAAAATCAATAAAATATATTTAAAAAGAAAAAAAGAATATAGCTTTGAAAATTGAAAACAAAGTTATTTTCATAAATGATTTCATATATAGAAATATCCGAAGTATATATGGATATATTTGGGGCCTTAATAGGAGAGTTAGCAAGGTTGCTAGAGACAAAATCAAATTAGAAAAAAATCAAATGCTATGTCACAGCAATAAACAAAAATTAGGGTGTTGTAAAAGATGCCATTGACAATAGAGTCAATAATTATTAGATACCTGGAGTATATCTATTCAGGCATGGACTCTGTCATCAATGTGTTTAAGAAAATAGATGCTAAAATAGGGGCTGTCACTGTCAACATGGAACACATGAAAAAGAACCAGGCAGAAAGGAATGACTAACCCTCCTGCCCTAAACAACTATCAAACCAGATATAACAGGGTTGACAATTGGCTCCGCCTTGTTCCAGGTGTAGCTCTTCCTCCCAATCGCCTACCATGATGACCAACACCAACACCAAGCTCCCCACCAGCCACCCGGCTGTGTGCCCACCGAGGCAACAGCTTCCCCCCAGGACTTCCTGTGAGCTTCCCCTTTCTACTCCCACGTTGGGGGCTGGACATCTTGGCTTTTCACATTTTCATAAATAAAATGCTGGCTTCAGCACATCCGAAGGCACGGTCATCAAGTGACTCATGCGTTTCTCTGTTCCTCAATTTCCCATTGTGTACAGCAGAGACCATGCATCCTACTCAGAGCTGGTCGTGAGCGTTGAAGAAGTTAACACGGAAGTGAATGGAAGTTAACGGAAGTGAACCAACAGAGGTCACATGGCGAGTGCCCAGGGCTGGCTGGTCTCCCTTTTTATTTTTAAACAGGAAGGTCCTGCTGGCAAGTTCTCCTGAAGCCGGAGGTGACCGGGCCCAGTGGAGAGGGGGACGCTTGTTGGTGTCATTTTCCATCCCCGACTCTTCAAAGCCTCCCGACCTGGCGTTCGGCTCATGATGAGGCATCTTATCGTCTCTCCGCGGTCAGCTCGCCTCACTTTACCTGTTCATTCTCCCAGCACCTCCTGCCCGACAGCCCTTCTCTGTCCCACTGAAGGGCCCCACAGGAATCTTTCCAACAGCCCGTGCGCCCTACCAGAGCTGACCAGGTATTTCATCACCAAAAAGGACTTATTCGAGGAAGAAGAAAAGGTTGCAACGCCCTCCACACAGTTATGGGGATCCACGTGCAAGCACTGCGCTAGGAAGACCCGGGAAGGAAGCCCGTTTTGCGGAGGGGAAGCGGAAGTTAAGGGGCGGGGCTGAAAGGACCATAGAGCTCTGCTGTAACCATAGAGTGTTTCCTGTAGGGCTCTCATCGCTGCAGGGGGTGCGGGAGCGCCTCCCACAGGTCCTCCCGATTCCTGTCTGGGTGGTCCTTTAGGACAAGCCAGAGAGCTGACCCCGACTCTCTCCTACACACACCCCTTCCCGACTCCCTGGCTGTAGACAATACATCACAGGCACCTTCCCCTGGCACTGATCTACTCACTCACCCTTTCCTCGTGGCTTTTGTTCCTTCAATCTTCCATGAAAGTCTTTGCAATATCAGACCACTCTCCTGGAGAGCATGCGTCCTTGCTTTCATCTGGCGAACACCATTCTGTCCTTCAAACGTGAGTTCTTGGAGGGACGTGGGTTGAGAGGGTGGACTGAAGAAAGAGCTCATACAACACAACAGCCAAAAGTTTAGTGCTACAGCACAGGTGGCTAAGAATAAGCTCGTTATCATAAGTGGGTGATGCTAAGCTATGGGTGGTCTAGGCTTCTATGTCAAAGGCATCCATCCGGAGCAAGAGCCAGGCTGTCCCACCCATGAAGTTCCCTTTTAGAAAGTCGTGGGTGACGTATATAACTGACTGCTTGCAGTAGCCCACTTTTCCTTCCTTGAACTTTAATTCCGGCTCTTCTGCTTTAAATTCACCAAGAGAGAACCTGCAAAATCCTGGGCACCCCATTCTCCTCCCCAATAGAGGCTGAACATTAGGTCCTCTCTGTTTCTCTACCTGTGACCTTGCTGAGTGGGCCTCGGTGTGTTGTGTGTTCTCCAGGACTTGTAAGTACAATTGTCTCCCTTCTTCGCGGGAGATATGTCCCAAGACCCCCAGTGGATGTTTTAGACCACAGATAGTTCCAAACCTTATATATATAGTACTAGAGGCCTGGTGCATGAATTCGTGCATGGGTGGGGTCCAGCCGGCCCGCCCAAATCGGGGCCAATCTGGCTGGCCCGGCTGGATGGAGGGGCCATGGGTGGTTGGCCGGCCGGCCCCACCACCTGGTCAAACTCCTGGTTGAGGAGGAATTTTGCATATTAGCCTTTTATTATATAGGATGATTTTTTTCCCTACACACATTATTGAAAAGTTTATCTTCTCGTCACTTCTGTGCATCAGCCCCTCTATCATGCATGGCGTTTCCTGTGGTTTAGGTCTATGGTATTGCTAGGTGCTCTGTTATGTTCCCATGGTCTAGTGGTCTAACACTGTGGTAGTACAGCACTGTCTTGTTTTCTATAACATTTTAATGTCTTGACGTCTTATGGAGCCAGTCCTCATACATTGTTCTTCATGATTGCTTTGGCTGAACTTAGAAAAATTTACTTCAATATAAATTTACAATAGCGGTACCAAGTTCCACAAAAGTCACTTGGAGATTGGTGACATGTTGCTTTAACTCTGCAGATTAATTTGGGTATGCTAGACTGTTATACAATACTAGAGGCCCGGTGCACTAATTCGTGCACAGTGGGGTCCAGCTGGCCCACCCTGATGGGGGCCAATCAGGGCCGGGCCGGCAGGGGGGAGGGGATGTGGGAGTTTGGCTGCCAGCCCCATCCCCAATCAGGGTGGGGGGACAATTGGGGATGGGGCTGGCCAGGGGGAGGGGCTATGGGAGGTTTGGGGGGCCAATTGGGGCCCCCCTCGGGCTGGTTGGCCACTTTAGTGCGCCTCATAGCAACCGATTGTTCCAGTTCTGGTCGCTTGGCTTTTATATATATATATAGATTGTTGTCATACCCATTAACATGCATATTGTCTATTTATTTGCATCTTTAATGTCCTCCTAAACAGATTTATAATTTCCTTCATTGAGAAAGGGCATATTATATTTTTATGTACACCTCTCTTAGCAATATACTCTCTTAGCAATTTTCAAATATACAACACAGTACTATTAACTGCATTATTATAGCTAATAGTATTAATACCCACTATTATTATTTTTAAAAATATTTTTATTTATTTCAAAGAGGAAGTGAGAGGGAGAGATAGAAACATCAGTGATGAGAATCATTGACTGGCTACCTCCTGCAAGCCCCCTACTGGGGATCGAGCCCACAACCTGGGCATGTGTCCTGATCGGGAATCGAACTATGACCTCCTAGTTTATAGGTTGATGCTTAAACCAATGAACCACACCAGCGGGGCAGTACCCACTATTAATAACTACAGTCACCATGCTGTACATCACATACCTATGATTTAATCATTTTATAACTGGAAGTTTGTACCATTGACCACACTCATTCATTTTGCCCACCCCACAGGCTCTGCCTCCAGTAACGATCAATCAGTTCACTGTATCTTTGAGTTTGATTTTTTCAATGTTTCTACATATAAGTAAGATCATACTGTACTTGTCTCTCTCTTTCTGATTTACTTCACTTAGTACAATGCCCTCATGGTCCATCCATGTTGACCCAAATGGCATGAAGTCCTTCTTTTTATAGCACAATAACATTCCACTGTACATAGAGCACACTTTCTTTGTACATTCATTGATTGATGGGCACTTAGATTGCTTGCACATATTGTAGATGCTGCTGCAATGAACATAGAGATGCATGTGTCTTTTCAAGTTAGTGTTTTTATTTCCTCTAAATAAATACCCAGAAGTGGTGTTGCTGGGTCATGTGGCAGCTTTATTTATAATCTTTGAGGAACTGCCATACTGATTTACATAGTGGCTGCCCCAATTTACATTCCCAGCAACAGTGCCAGAGGGTTCCCCTTTCTGAACATTCTTGCTAACACTTATTATTTCTTTTCTTTTTTTTTTTACATTTTATTTTATTGATTATTTTTACAAAGAGGAAGGGAGAAGGATAGAGAATTAGAAACATCGATGAGAGAGAAACATCAATCAGCTGCCTCCTGCACACCCCCTACTGGGGATGTGCCTGCAACCAAGGTACATGCCCTTGACCGGAATCGAACCTAGGACCCTTCAGGCCACAGGCTGACTCTCTATCCACTGAGCTCAAACAGTTAGGGCTATTATTTCTTGTCTGTTTTATTTCTCAGCTTGAGATTTGCTAGACCTCTCAGTGATAGGAATTGTGGGGGTACAACCATGGAAATCGTGCTTTTCTTTAGGTCTCTGCTCGCACTAGACCAGTGGTCAGCAAACCGCAGCTCGTGAGCCACATGCGGCTCTTTGGCCCCTTGCGTGTGGCTCTTCCACAAAATACCACGTGCAGGCGCGCACGTACAGTGCGATTGAAACTTTGTGGCCCATGCGCAGAAGTCGGCCTGGGCGAGTCTATTTTGAAGAAGTGGCCTTAGAAGAAGTAGGGGGTGTTGGTCGGTGGAGTGACGGGAGACACAGCGCCTGGGGAAACCCAGCGCCGTGGGGGAGGCGCGTGGGATTCAAGCACGAGTTGAGGATGGGAGAGTTGGAAGGGGTCGACCTCAGCGAATGTACCTCAATCAGATTGAGGACTTTTTTAGCAAAGGCCAGCTTAGGAGTAACCTAATTAAGTTCATAACAATGTACCTACCTATATAGTTTAAGTTTAAAAAATTTGGCTCTCAAAAGAAATGTCAATCGTTGTACTGTTGATATTTGGCTCTGTTGATAATGAGTTTGCCGACCATTGCACTAGACAGTCTTCATTGCAATATGCGAGGAGTCCGAATAGGTGTTGGGGGAGCTGGTTCCTTCCTTTTCACCTGCACCCAAGGCAGGGGCAGACTCAGGTTTGTGGAGCCTGATATTGACATAGATGTCAAGATTATTGCTTCTGCCCAAACCGGTTTGGCTCAGTGGATAGAGCGTCGGCCTGCAGACTGAAAGGTCCCAGGTTCGATTCTGGTCAAGGGCATGTACCTGGGTTGCAGGCACATCCCCAGAAGGAGATGTGCAAGAGGCAGCTGATCGATGTTTCTCTCTCATCGATGTTTCTAACTCTATCTCTCTCCCTTCCTCTCTGTAAAAAATCAATAAAATATATTTAAAAAAATAAAAAAAAGATTGTTGCTTAAAAAAATACAAAATCTGCTACACATGGATTTTTCTAACACAAGAAAACATATTACATCAAGTCACAAAGGCAAAAATGTTTAAGCCCAAAATATAAGACAAATGAAAAAAAGTACAGACTATTTTTCTTAGCCGTGCGACATACCTGTCGGGCACACCGGCATAAGGCGTGTTCTCTACAATTTTTTAAATCATCAATTGAGGACATGTTTATTGATTTTAGAGAGTAAGGAAGGGAGGAGAGAGAGAGAGAGAGAGAGAGCACTATGTGAGAGAGAAACATTAATCGGTTGCCTCCTACATGCCCATACAGGGGATGGGACCTACAACCTAGGTATGTGCTGTGACTGGGAATTAAATCCACAACTTTCTGGTGTAAGGGATGACGCTCCATCCTGAGCCACCTGGCCAGGCTCCACAGTTTTTAATTGATACCCTTTGATTGCCTCTTTATAGGAGATTAATTCTGTCACATAGTAATAAATGTTAATATTACATTAAGTATAAATTACTAGAAAATTATATTTATACTAGAGGCTCAGCACACAAAATTCATTCATGGGTAGGGTCCCTAGGCCTGGTGGGGCTCAGGGCTAATTAGGGTCTTCCAGCTGCCAGCTGGGGCCTTCCTTCATTCCACATTACCCCTGGTGGTCAGCACACATCATTGCGGGCAATCAAACTCCCAGTCTCCCCATCAAACTCCTGAGGGGACACTTTGCATATTAGCCTTTTATATATATAGGTAATATAGAGAATAGAGAGAGAATTCAGTGTTCCCTTCAGCATGGATGTTTGACATTTCTTTTTCTCCTGTACAATTAAAGAAACGTTTCTTTCAATCACACAATTTGTTACTGGGAATGTCTGAAGTTTCACATCACTGTCATATTTGGGAAAACATTGATCAACTTTCTTTCTTTCATAAAAGAGCAGTAGGATTGCAGGTTATGTCCACATATCACTAAAGCCCCTGCTGGGCTTTTAAAAGGGACGGAGCACGTGAGGGGCCTGAAGGTGGAGCTTCCTGAGCTGTAGGTGGTGAATTTGCTGCTGTGCTGAGGCCCCGCCTCTGGGTCCCTCCGAATGGGGTGAGATCTCCCTTCACACATCGCCTTCTGATGGGGCCTGTGTGCTGTCACTGTCCCAGGTCCCCCAGACCCTGGAAGACCCACACGTGTGCCTCCCATGTCCCCACAAAGCTCTCAGAGCAAAGGGCTTGAATGCTCAAGTTTACGCAGGGGATCCACCCCCCAACTGGAGTTGCGTCTAAATTGCTTTTTCTCTTGCCAGCACTTGAGTTGTCTAAAGAAAATTTAAAGTTATCCTTTTCCAGACCCATCAGTGGTTACAGCTCAAGGTTGTATCTCCCCAGAGTCCAGCTCTGACCCCAGTGTCCCCCTGGGTGACCTCCCTCTCCACTTACACATCGTCTGCAAGGAGATTACTTTCAGATTCACATCTGGACACGCCTCTAAATGTCTGGGGGCCTCAGCATATCCACCAGCAGGGTTGAGTGGGAGGGGGGAGGGAGACAGGACGAGTTCTCAGACACCACCACCCCCCCCCCCGCACCGGCCACGTCCTGTGGAGGCCAAGTTCCCCTACAGCCTGGCCACAGTCTCTCCCCCTGGACTTCCTGTTGAGGCATCCTAGGCCCCACCACAGAGCTGGACACTTACCTCCCTGATGCAGGGACCCGGACCCGCTCTGCCCTGCCAGAGGCAGACATGGTGCCCCTGCTGCTGCTGCCCCTGCTGTGGAGGGGTGAGTGGACTGAAGGAGGGGGGCTGGGCAGGTGGGGGATTCGCAGGGGCTGCCACTGAGCCTCTGTCCCCCTCCCAGGGTCCCTGCAACAGCTTCCAGGCTATGAGCTCCGAGTGCAGGAATCGGTGACAGTGTTTGAGGGTCTGTGTGTCCACGTGCCCTGCTCCTTCTCCTACCCGAGGAGTTCGTGGTCTTCCTCTAGCAAATTCTACACCTACTGGTACCGGGATGGAGACAACACAGCCTATGATGCTCCTGTGGCCTCGAGCAACTATAATAAAACAGTGAAGAGAGAGACCCAAGTCCGATTCCTCCTCCCGGACCCCAGGACCAACGACTGTTCCCTGCACATAAGAGACGCCAGGAGGAGTGACACAGGACGCTACTTTTTCCGAGTGGAGATAGAATATCCTGAATATAATTACCAAGGCCATTTCCAAGGATATAAGTCCCAAGGCTATAGTTACCTATATAAAATGCTGGATTTGCAGGTGACAGGTACGGCAGGGGCCAAGGAAAGAACCCAGGGACATGGGACCCTGTCTTAGAGCAGGAACAGGACACTGGACACTCCCTGTCCAGGCCTTGGGCCCTGGGTGGTGGGAAGATCACAGGGCCTGGGGAGCTCAAGGGCCCTGAGGCATGAGTCCCACTCAGGATCACACTTTGGGTCCCCACCCCCTGGAGCCCAGGCACCTGCCTTTCTCCCCCGCATTCCTGACAGAGAAACCCCACATCCATATTTGGGAGCCGTTGGAGTCTGGCCACAGCACACAGCTGGCGTGCAGCCTGCCAGGGGCCTGCAAAGGGGGACGACCTCTCACCTTCTCCTGGGCGGGAGCCGCTGTGGACTCACTGGACCCCCAGACCCTCCGCTCCTCAGTGCTCACCTTCACCCCGAGGCCCCGGGACCATGGCACCAGCCTCACCTGTCAGGTGAAACGGGAATGGCCTCAGTTGACCACACAGAGAACCATCCGGCTCAATGTCGCCTGTGAGTGTTAGAGGGGAGGCTATGTCCACGGGGACAATGGGAGCGACGTGTGTGTGTGTCTGTGTGTCTGTGTCTGTGTGTGTGTGTGTGTGTGTGTGTGTGTGTGTGTGTGTGTAGGAGGCTTAGCTAACCTGAGAACACCCGGGCATGGATCTGCGTGTAGGTGGGGAGGGGCCAGAAGGAGAGAACCCCTCCTTCCCGGTTCCCACTGCCCCTCCTTGGGGTTGGGGTGACTTCCATTTGAAGTGGGGCCCTGTCTTTATATCCCAGATGCCCCAGGGAACCTCACCATAGGCGTCTCCTACAGAAACGACCCAGGTAGGAAAGAACCCCTCCTCTCTGGGCTGGGACCTGCCCCGGGCCCTGGTGGGGCAGATGGGGGAGCAGGAGTTTGAATGGGATGAGACATGGGAAGGGCAAGGATGAAAGTCATCACCCGAGTCCCTCATCTCTGGTGGGTGGGTGCCTGCACACATCTCTCTCTCTCTCTCTCTCTCTTTCTCTCTCTCTCTCTCTCTCTCTCTCTCTCTCTCTCTGCATTTCTCTACCCAAAGCCTTCAAGAATCTACAAACCACATCCCTTCTCATTCTGGAGGGAGTGGCCCTGAGGCTGCTCTGTGAGGCTGACAGCAACCCCCCTGCCGAGCTGAGCTGGTTCCAGGGGCCCCCAGGCCTGAACGCCACCCCCATCTCCAGCACCGCGATCCTGGAGCTGCCTCGCGTGGGGCCTGCACAGGAAGGAGAGTTCACCTGCCAAGCTTGGCACCCGCTGGGCTCCCAAAGTGTCTCTCTCAACCTCTCCGTGTTCTGTGAGTGGGGAGTGGACTGAGACCGGAGTGGGGGTGGGGTGGGAGCAGGGGGTGAGGCGCACCTGGAAGTAGGTCACCTGGGTTCTTGGAGATGTTAGAAGCACCGCCGACCCTTCCCCTCACTCCCCACAGAACTCCCGCAGCTGCTGGGACCCTCCTGCTCCTGGCAGGACCAGGCTCTGCTCTGTAGCTGCTCCTCCAGGGCCCAATGGGTCCCCTCCCTGCGCTGGCGGCTGGGGGCGGGGCTGCTGGAGGGGAACCATGGCAACGCCTCCCACCCGCAGTTACCTCCTGCTCAGAGGGGCCCTGGACTGACAGCTCCCTGAGCCGGGGTGTGGGGCTCAGTGAGGGACTCAGATCCAGCTGTAAGGTCAGGAATGTCCATGGAGCCCAGGGCGCCTCTGTCCTGCTGCTGCCAGGTCAGGGCCTGCTGGGGGCAGAGGCCACGGAGAAAGGAGTGGGTCAGAGAGAGGGTGGAGCTGGGGGTGGGGGCTGAGAGGGGACAGGCGGGATGGCTAGGACAGGGCCTGCATCTCCTACCTGAACAGAACCCACAGCGGGTTCTGGGCGGAGGAGGGAAGAGGAGAGACTGAGTCCTGGGAGTGGGTGGTGTCACCTGAGCTGGTGCTGGAGGAACAAGCCCTGAGCCCCCCCAGCCCTCAGCACCAGGGCTCCTGGAGCTGCCCCATGTGGGGCTGGAGGCGGAGGGGAGTTCACTTGGGCTCAGCACCCGCTGGGCTCCCAGCGCGTCTCCTTCAGCCTCTCTGTGCAGAGTGAGGTGCAGGACAGGTGTGGGGGGCCGCCTGGTCAGGTGTTGGGCTGTGGGTGGACTGACACCTGGACGACATGTCACCCTTCTCCCGTCGTCCCCAGGCAGCCCGCACTCCAGCAGATGTGTGACTGAGGAGCAGCAGGGCTCCTGGCCCCTGGTCCTCACCCTGATCAGAGGGGCCCTCATGGGGGCTGGCTTCCTCCTCACCTACGTCCTCACCTGGCTCTACTACACCAGGTGAGCAGGCCTGTCCCTCCCGGGGAAGGTCAGGGATTGGCCCTGGGGTCCAGGTGGGGCCGGGCTGTCCGGCTCTCCCTGGAGTTAGAGCGAAAGTGGCAGCCAAAACCGGTTTGGCTCAGTGGATAGAGCGTCAGCCTGCGGACTGAAGGGTCCTAGGTTCGATTCCGGTCAAGGGCATGTACCTGGGTTGCGGGCACATCCCCAGTAGGAGATGTGCAGGAGGCAGCTGATCGATGTCTCTCTCTCATCGATGTTTCTAACTCTCTATCTCTCTCCCTTCCTCTCTGTAAAAAATCAATAAAATATATTTAAAAAAAAAAAAAAAAGAAAGTGGCAGAGTCTCTGAGCTGACACCTGTGTGGGCCCCGCAGGTGTGGAGGCCCCCGGAACAGGAGGCAGAGCTCCTGATGGATCCTCCCTTCCTCTCAAGATGGGACTGAGGTGTGGGCACCAGGCTACAGGGACCGTCCTGGGACGTCCATGTCACCTTCTCCCTGGAAGCTCTTGACTCACCTGCCTCCAATGTGCCCCTGGGGTTTCAGTGTGTGGAAGTGACTGAGTGACCACAAGGGGAGTCAGTGCCATGGAGAGAAGACTTTTACTCCTTTCACCTCCTGATAGGAGGGGCCGCTGTGCCCGGGAAGCCCTGGATTTCCTCAGGAAGCAGATGCAGGTGCAGGGCAGCCTAGCAAAGGCCTTGATTGGGGTTCCCATGGGAAATGCAAGGCAGGGCAGGGTAAGCCGTTCAGGACCAGCTGGTGTGTGTCAGTCTGGGGGATGGGCCTGTGGGCGTGGTCTTCATGTGTCTGGTCCCAGGTCCTGGGTGATTGGGGCAGGTGGTGAGGCTGGGAATATGGGCTCAGGATGGGTTGGTTTGCATCTGAAAGGCTGTTCCTGGCAGAGTGCTTTGCTGTCTCTGAGAGGCCCTGGGAGGCCCTGTCTCTCCTTGGCCTCCAAGCTGTTAAATGGCTCAAAACATCATAAGATACAGAAATAAACAAGTAATGCACACCCACTGACTGCTCCCTTTTTTCTACCTGTTCTCTCTCTCTCCCTCTCTTGTTTCTGTCCACTCATCCCCCAACCCCAGGCTCCTCTCTCTTCATTCTCAAGCCCTGAAATGGACTGAAGTTTGCACCTTATCCTCCCTTTGTCCAGAAGTTACCTGGTTACCACCTGAGTTTCTGGTCTCCCAAACTGTCCTTCAATGTAGATATCGATACACAGTAGAATTAGGAGCAGCTCTTCTCTCCCTATTCATAGATGCTTACCTCATAATTATTATTATAAAACATCCCAACATTTAATCATAAATGAAGACATTTCTGTGATATCACATAAAATTGATTTTACTATTTAGTGTCTGTGGGAGTTTCTTGAGTCAAATTATGTCTAGATCTCCTCCTTCTGTTGTTGCTGTTGTTGAACCTGTTTCAAGTAAGGGGTTTTGTTTATTTCTTGTGATTATTTTTCAATTGGTATTTATATTTTTTCTTATTTTGAAAAATATTTTTATTGATTTCTTAGAGGAAGGGAGAGGGAGAGATAGAAACATCAATGATGAGAGAGAAGCATTGATTGGCTGTCTCCCGAACGTCCCTTACTGGGGATCAAGCCCGTAACCTGGGTTTGTAGCTTGACCGGGAATCAAAGCCTGACCTCCTGTTTCATAGATCGATGCTCAACCCCTGAGCCACACTAGGCAGGCTATATCTATTCATGAATACTAAAAAAATTCAACATTCAAGACACATCCACCTATACTCTCGCCATTTTGTATTGTTATGTTCATATATCTTACATCTATAAATTTGATAAACTTTAGAGAACATTAATAATTTCTTGGATGTGAACAACTATTTTCTCTTCAGATTTATTGAGAAATTTTTGACATAGAATGCATGCAAGTTTAAGGTATGTAATGGTGCATATTTAATATACCTATATGGTAAAGTGATTACCACAACAAGGTTCATTAACACTTCTATGCTCTCATATAATTACTACTGTTATGATTATAACATTAATGACATACTCCCTTAACAACTTTCAGATATATAACGAAATACTGTTAATTGTAGTCATCATGCTGTCCGTCCAGTACATCCCCAGGAATTATTCATCTTGTAGCTGAAAGCTATGCTTGACCAACATCTCCCCATTTCCTCACCCCCAGCCCCAGCATCACCGTTCTACTCTCTTTCTGTGAGTTTAGCTTCTTCAGATCCCACTGTGAGAACACACTGCAGGTAAACAATGACTATTTTGAAAAATAACCCTCACAGTTATGTTTCTTTCATGCAGTTCTAGGTTTCCATCACAAAATCACTTTCCTCTGTACAGAAATTAACCCAAAATGTATTAAAGACCTAAAACTAATACCAAAAAGTATAAAACTCTTAGAGAAAAACATGGGGGGAGAGTCCATGACATTGGATTTTGGAATGATTTCCTTGACATTTACATCAAAAGCACAGACAAGGAAAGCAAACATAGACAAGTGGGACTGTACCAACTTCAAAACCTGAGCACAAAAGGACACTCTCACCAGACTCCAGAGGCCACCTACAGGATGGGAGAGAAAATCATCTGATGAGGGGTTAGTATTCAGAATATATTACAAACTCATATGAGGCAACATAAGAAACCCAAATAACACAACTGAAGAATTGGGCAGAAAACTCCAGTCAATATTTCTCCAAAGATGATATTCAAATAGCCAAAAAACTTTGAAAAGATATTCAACATCAGTAATTCTAAAGAACTGCTAATCAAAGCCCTTGCTGGGTAGCTCAGTTGGTTACAGTGTCTTCCAGTTGGCCGGTTTGATCCTTTCTAGGGCACATACAACAATCAACCAATGAATGCATACATCAAAACTATAATGAGGCATCACCTCACACCCTTTAGGATGGCTACTATAAAGTAAGACCAACAGCCCAGCTGGTGGCTCAATGTTTAAGCATGGACCTATGAACCAGGCGATCATGCTTGGATTCTCAGTGAGGGCACATGCCCAGGTAGCAGGATCAATCCCGGTAGGGGGCGTGAGGAAGGAAGCCAAATAATGATTCTCTTTCATCATTGATGTTTCTACCTCTCCCTTCTCCTCTGAAATCAATAAAAAATATAGTTTTTAGAAACTAGCAGAAGATAATAACAAGTGCTGGTGAGGATGTGCAATAATTGAAATCATTTTGCACATTTGGTGGGATTGTAAAGGGATGTACCAGCTATGGAAAACAATATGGCAGTCCCTCAAAAAAATAAAAATAGAACTACCATGACATGTAACAGCTCCTCTTGAGGTTATATATCCAAAAGAACTGAAAGCAGGACCTCAAAAAGACATCTGCATACCTATACTTATAGCGGCATTATTGAAGACACAATAGTCAAGACGATTCAGCAACCCCAATGTCCATTGATGGATAAATGCATTTAAAAAGGTTCATATGCCTTAGGCTGTTCTGGGTGTTTTCACAAAAGACCATGGACTGGTGGTTTATAAGTAGCAGGAATTTATTGCTCAAAGACCTGGAGACTGGAAGTCCAAGATCAGGGTGCCAGCATGGTTGGGTTCTGGCGAGCGCCCTCTTGCACAGTACAGGCGACCTACTTTTAGTTGAAACATCACATGGTTGAAGGGGAGAGGGAGCTCTCTCAGGTCCCACCTGCTAACATCATCCCGTTGGGTGTAGGGAGTGGCCATAGGGTTAAGCCTCAGACTGACCAGTGGCAGGGCCACAGACAAGTCCCAGCTTGGAGGGCAGAGCCCCCCCCAGCATAATTAAACTTGACCTTATAGCCCTCCCTAGTTCCTTCCTAGGTAGCTAATGGGCTGTGGAAGGGGCAGCAAGTGCTTCCAAAAACAAGGTGAAACTCACAAGAACCTTGTAAACATGTTGACCACTACCCTTGTTTTGATCTGACTATAAAATAAAGCCTCAGCTTGCAGGCTGGGTCTATCTGTGTCCTCATCCAGGTAGAGGAGATCCACCGAGCCCCAGCTGTATTCTCTTGTCTGCCTTCTTTAATCCTTCACCGCCCCTCCACAGGTTCACCCTTGGCCGTGCTGGCATGGCACACTTGGGGTTAAGATTTCAAAATTTTTATTTCAGGAGGACGACAACATTCAGTCTATAGCATTCCACCATTGATCCCACAACGTTCAATCTATTGCACCTACAATTATTGTATTATTCAGTCCTTAAAAGAAAGGAAATCCTGTTAGGTGCTGTGACGTTGGTGAACCTTGAGAGCACTGTACTTAGTGGAGTAAGCTGGTCACAAAAAAATACAGCTACTGGATGACTCCCTTTCTGTGAGTTATCTAAAGGAGTCAAATTCTTAGGAACAGCATGTACAATGGTGGGTACCAGGATTGGGGGGAGGGACAGATGAAGAGTCATTGTTAAATGGCTAAAGTGTTTCAGTTTTGAGGGTGATAATGTCCTGGAGAATGTTTGCACAACAATGTCAATATTCTTAACACTACTGAACTGTAAACTTAAGAATAGTTAAGATGGCAAATTTTATGATATATATGTATATTTATATGTGTATATGTATATATGTACATATCTATCTATCTCCAGTATTATAAACTTAATCAATAAACAAACAAAAAGCCTTGCCATTTCTCTTTACCTGAAGAACTTACTTTAGTATTTGTATAGGAAAAGTCTACAGGAATCAAGTCTGTTTGCTTATTCTATACTGAAATATGATTTAATTGAATTTATTTAAATCATTACCTGAGAGTTTCAGTCAAAATGGTGGCATAGGTAAACTCGCCTCCTCCCACAACAACAGAGAAATTACAACTAAAATACAGAACAATCATCATCCAGAACCACCTGAAATCTAGCTGAAAGGAATTCCTACAACTAGAGGATTGAAGAAGATGCACATTGACACTGGTAGGAGGGGAAGTGATGCAGGGAAGACTCTCAGGGTCAGCTGATCTCACACCCACACGTGTTGGTTGAAGATCAGGAGGGATATCTTGACTGTGGAGGTTTCCCTGAGGAGCAAGGGTTTCAAGTCTGCACAACTTCTGGCTCAGAAAACCAGCGGGGATTGTGGCTGAGTGACACAGAGGCTGCTGGAGCCCCAGGCAGCTCCTCTTAAAGGGCCTGAGCACGGTCTTACTCAGACTCACTCCCTCTGAGCCCTAGCACTTGGGCCGCAGCTTAAAAGGAACCTGGGACATTTAGGGAGGAACCAACTTATCTGGAATCTAGGATAGAGCGGGAGGAGCAGCTTTCTCCCAGATAGAAGTGTTGATAGAGGCCATTGCTCCAATCCTGAGCCCTGAGAGAGAGAGAGAGATAATATGTGGGAGAGTTAGATCAATCGGTTGCCTCCTACATGCCCATACAGGGGATGGGACCTACAACCTAGGTATGTGCCATGACCAGGAATTTAACCTACAACTTTCTGGTGTAAGGCATGACGCTCCAGCCAACTGAGCCACTTGGCCAGGCTCCACAGCAGAGGTCCTCAAACTTTTTAAACAGGGGGCCAGTTCACTGTCCCTCAGACATTCCACACATGCGCACTGCGGGCCCGGGACGAGTCGGCTGCTAAGCAGGACAGGCAGCGGTGGCAAAGACACCCGGCGGGCCGGATAAATGTTTTCGGCGGGCCCCATGTGGCCCGCGGGCCATACTTTGAGGACC